TCGATAAATCATACAAAAGAGATTTAATTTAAAAGGAATTTTTAAGGAAAATCCCAGCTCAGTAGCCAGCGGAACATAAAAATAGTCCATGAACTAAATAAATGATACTACATCTGTAATTAACCCTGCACAACTTTTATTTTACTCATCAGTTTTATAGCCAAAGACAAATAAATATTTTCCATATACTGAGTATTCCCCCCACTCGCCAACAATAATACACATGACAAGGCTTCAGAGCTGCTCGCCTCCCCGCGCCCACCCAATCACCAGTTAATTAATTAACTAACTAGACTCACTGAGAGCCACAGTAGAGGCGGATGGCCGCATGGCCCATACAATGCGAACGCCTAAAAGTCGGCATTAAAATTTAACAGCCAGTCAGCTTTGGAGTTTATGGCACAAAGGAGCGAACACGGAAGGGAATCGAGTTAACCAGAGAATGCGCACAACACGAAACAACAATGCGACCGCAAAACATAATATGTAATATGTAAATGCATTGTGCGGCCATTTTCTCTGTGTAAACTAAACAAATTACAAACTAATTTTCAGTCTCAAACAACACACAGAATGGAAAAAAATAACCAAAGCGAACAATTGCACTCAGCGGCAGTGCTCGACTTAAAGATATCTCGTGTACACAGTTTTAGTGATCAAATAATAGCTGAAAAATACGCTTTAAACTAGAAAATTATCCTTGAAGAAAAAATCGTTATAATACAATATATTCTTTTGATATAATTTTTTTTTAAATTGAAGTGATCGTATTAGTTGCATGCCCAGCAAATACTATATACTATATGCATATAGCTGATATCAATTCGATTTAAGGGCAAATAATGAGGCCTAGCCAGATGATAGGCTCTTATAGTTGAGCATCGCTTGTATACCATTTCGATACCCTACTTTTGCGTGTCGTGTGTACAGAGTGTAGAAACCAAAACCTGTAATGAAAATCCGACGCATAGACGAAGCCGATGCGACCGCGTCAACACGCCAGCAACCGCAGCAACAACAATATACAATGGAAAACATAAAACAACAATAACAACAACAATAATGCTTTGCCCCTCTGCAGCGGTGCGCTGCACTTCATTTATTACATTCCATTTATGCAATTGCGCCAAAATCCATGTTTGCGGTTAATGGAAAAATTATTTATTTAAATAAATTTATTCGACACGAGCAAAGTGCAAAGCGCGACAGAGCGAGATAGAAATATTCCCGTGTGAAGGTGCTCTCTATTCCCATATGTGGTGTATGTGTCTGTGTGTGTGTGTGTGTGTGTGTGTGTGAGGGGGTGTATGAGGGTTAAAATTGTTGCTGACATCAGTGTCCACTAGGCTGTGGGCGTGTCGGTACGCCAGTTGAATCACCACCCCAGCACCCTTTGATATTTTAGTTTTTGTTTAGTCCGGTTTAGTCCTGCAACTTGTTTTTATAATACATTGTAGTCCGGAAATATACAGAAATTGGATGCACTTGCACTGGATAACAAACAGAAGGGGTATTTCCAGCTGGGTTACGTGCCGGATTGAACTCTCGTTCTATTTTTATAATTTATTTGCTGGATCTGAACTGAAGGTTTAGTGAAAATTTGAACTTTACGTTGATCTCAACTTCAGACTAATTTTTGTTGATAGTTTTTTATCAGACGGTATATAGGCAAAATAACGTGTCGTAATCTGCCAGTTCGTGTTTACACTCAAAAATGTTTGCACGCATCAGACTGTGACCTCTTATTATCATCTTCTGTAAATTGCCTAAAAAATCGAAGTACCGTTTTGCTAATTGCAGGACTTTTAAGCATTTTCGTAGCATGCATAATTTGTCCGCAATTTCTGTTGGCCATTTAATCATTCCATCAGGCAAGGCAACAGCCATAACAACAACCAATTGGGCTAAAAAATTATAGCTGGGTAAAAAGCGAAGCATAATTTTGCGCGCATTAATAAGAAAATGGAGTGAAATTAATTTGACAACGGTGGCAGAAAAGGCGACTTTAAACATAATGAAAACATATTATTTGACGTTAATTTTCGGCAGCGACAAGCATATTAAAAATATGAATAAGTAAATGCTCAAAGATGATGACAATAATCATTAGCATATGGAACCGTCGCGCCGCAACCCCGCAGCCGCTCTGGGACACGCAGTCTCATTACAAATTCCCACAATTATAGGCGAAGGCCGAAAGCAAAAGTTTTGTGGGCGTCATCAGCAGCTGTTGCCACGCCCATTTGACTGACCCATTTAAGCAACACGAAGGCAAATGAAGAGCTTAGTTTTAATTAAATTCTCAGTGCTAGGCAAAAACAGCGCCCAGATTTATTAGAAAGCATCGCCGCCTGTCTGGAAGAGCCCCCAGACGGTTGCCCCCGCTTGCCCCGCCCCGCCCCGCTTGCCCCACCATACCCCGCCAGCTGCTCAGTCGTTGTCATCGTCGACGCCTCTTTGTCAATGTCAATTGTTGTGTTTGGGATCGTTATTCTTCATATGCAGCCTCTTTTGCCTCTGTTGTTGCTGTTGCGTTTTAATGAATTTGTTTGCTCTTGTTCAAAAATATTTTCATTTTGAACGTTTTCCGCTTGCAAATTATAAAAAATTGCCAGTTCGTTGACATTTCGCCGTTGCTCCACTCTTTGGCCAGCTGTCAAAGTGATGAAACTGCGTGGGAAAACAGCAATAATGAGACCAGCTCTGACCGAAGTTAGTTTCTTTGGGAACAGCGAGAGATCTTGCCGGCTAGCGAATTCTAAAAAGTACGGATAATGATAAATTCAGGACACTCAGGATAGGGTGTGTATCTATTGGATATATCCTTTATCCTTCTCTAAGAGTAGCCTACAAATAAAACCTTTTATAACTGAACTTATTTAATGTCACTTCATATTCTCAGTCTCAGTACACTTTTTATGTATTTTCCTTATCACATCGTTTTTTTTGTATTCTTCAATAGTTCCCTATCAATTCAAGCAAACGAGTTCATTTACTGTGTTCACTTATCGAAACATGAATTCTTTTAAATATTTATTCTGCCAAGCTGGCTACAATTACATTCAAGAAACTTCCAGCTGAGAATCGAATAGTAAGGCGTACTGCACAGGGATGATGCGGACCCTTTTGGGTAAGCTGTTTTGGCATTTTGCATGGGATCAGTGAAGCAGAAACAATTCGCCCCAATTCAAATTAGTCAAATATTAGAGTCTTGCGTTCTGCTCGCATGTATCCGACTTTTCAAAATGCAATCTCATGCAGCTCAGCCAACCGCAATGTACAATAAAAAAAAAAATGTCGAGCAACTTTTGCATGCCACATAGTACTCGTAACTGATGGAAGCAAAGGGTTGAGAGGTTGGCAGCAGGGCCCGACAACAAGTTGCAACTGTCAAAAATGCAGGGCCAACTCTTGGAATGCATTGACATGTAGAAGTATTCATACAATCGTCGGTTACTGGCATTTACATTTGACATTTGCATATTTCACTATGCATTTTTATTGGTTAACCTGGCACAGGTAGTAGTAGAGTATTACTACTACGGCTGTGAGCAGAATGATATAAAAAATTCCATTTAACAGCTTAAACTCTGTAGCCGCATTCGGTAGCATCAGAGTTGTCAGTCAAATGCTTGCCATTTGCCAGCTGGGAGGGGCGGCCTGCCAGCTTGGTTAGCTGTAATCTGTGATGTAGTCATCACCCAGAGTCCAGAGCCGGTGTCCGAATGGGCATCCAGATGTCATTCAGTATTTCGAATTAAATTAGTTTTGATTTGCGAAACTGTTGCCTGGTGAAAAGTGTTGCATACTTTGTTGCGGCCTCTCAGCTCTCACTTTGCGGACTTTGGCGTTTAGCATTGTAAATGAGAAGTGCAGAGAGAGGTCGAGAGATGGAGTGTAGTAGCAAGGGTGGCCTAATGATGCTGCCACTTGACAGCCCGTTGAGTGAAAGCGGCGCACACTCCGCAAATGTCAAGTTGAGAATGAAACCGGCCTCGGAACCGCCAAAAGACCCATTTCTGTGATGGAGGGAGGCTTTGGCCATTTGGTACGAGGCCCGCACACACAAACACAGACATTTCGCCATAAATATTTAAGCCGAATGCGTTTTCATTCCGCACAACGGTGCAGACATCGCCAAATAAAACAAACTGCCAATGAAAATATTCCACCATGTCTTTGTGTGCCTGTGTGTGTGTGAAAAAAGTGAAACAAAGCGACGGCCGCCAGTCGCCATTTTGTTGGCACACGTTGCGTATGAATTATTTATTTAATGAACTTGTAGCGAGCGGCTGCTGCTACCGGCCATAGAACAGCATACGAATACAAATACAAATACGAATGTGAATGTAAATGTGAATACGAATACGAATACGAGTACGAGTACGAGTATCTACAACTTTGTACGCTCGAGTATCTTTGCGAACGCTTCTGCTGCAGACATGTTATAAAGTACTTTTGTTTTTCTTTTGTTTCGGACGATTTGTTGCTGTCGAGCATTTACGTTTCGATAGTTTTTTTCTTTTTATTTCGTTTTTCTGACAGCCAAAACTGCGAATTGCTCTGCATGTGCATGCGAGGGTTGCTTCTGCACTTGAAATAGGTTTTGTAGCTATCTATTAAATAAGAGGATCTATTTATATTCTCCCGCTCTGCTCCAAACAAAAAAGAATGTCTTTTACATAGCGCCCTACTATGCGATTCTCACCAATTTAATTCCTTCAAAGTTTCAAGCATTGATTATAACAACTTTTATTGGCAATCCAATATTTGGCAAAACATTTCTATCAAATTTAGTAAGATTTTAGTAAATAATTTAAATATGTAATGAAAAGATAATTTTAGCGATAAGTCCACAACATAAAAGCTGAATTCAACTTTTAAATGAGCCTCTTCTTTAAGCACAGCAACATTGTAAGCCACCCTCGTTTATTCTCGATATATGTCCTAAATGGTGTTGTAGTTTTCTTATCCTAGTAATTCAAATTAATTATTTATAGTTCATTTGCGAGTTGGCATTCAAAGTTCTAATGTGCAACGTGAACTTCGTGGACTGCTGTCAGCTCCTGTGCTGAGCTGGCTTGGAATTTATGCATGTGAATAAGTACAGCGACAAATTGACTTTGGCCCAGGAGGAGGGCGGAGATCAAGCAGCCAATTGGCAGTTAACAGCCTGACAGACAATGTGCGCATCTTTCAATTAGCACGTCCATTTGAAAGGTAAGTGAACATTAAAAGTTCAGTATCTATCCAGCTGATGACTTGCAGGCCGTCATTCAAATTGCCACGTCAAAGGGGCTTTGGTGGCGCCCCAACTTGCCGCCTGGCTAACGAGGACAATTATGCAGGCAACCGCAGGCCAGGCAGCTATGAAAGGCAGCTCAAAGCAATCCACTTAATTTGAAATTTTTCAAATCCTCTTAAGCAAATACCATTGACCGCAGTAAAACACACAAAACCGCAGTCTGAAGGAGCTGCTGCTGATGCTCCTGCCTCTGCTGAACTGGCAATCCAAAGTGGATATAATAGGCTATCGTAGAGCTGTGGGCAGCTGTCACTTGATATGACAGCTGTAGATACTTTTGTATCTACTAGTTGCAAACAACATGTTGTCACATGTTAAGATGCTTCACAAATTGCTCAAGCACACACAGCACAGCCATTAGATATTCGAATGACATCTTTTGTCTCTGGCATTTGCTTATTTGCTTTCAAGCTTTCGCCCTGTCAAATGTATCTGCAGCTGCAGCACTTCATTATCATCAATTTTACAGCATTCTGTATCTATATATATACATATATATATATGTATTCGTTTCTATATCCACACGTGCGCTCCTGCCAATGACAGCCTCAAGTGTCCGGCAATATTTTGGCATATTAAATTCCATTCTCAATATTCAGCAATAGCATCCAACCAAAAGTCAAGTATTGTCTTTTGTGTGTTCCCAACGCATGACACTCTAAGGACAATTAATCAAGTGTGCCCTTAGTGCTAGCCATAACTCTCTCTCTTCTCTCTCCGTCCCTCTTGCTTGCTTTAGCAGACATTTTTAATTAACATCAGTTTCGAGAAAACTTGCAACATATTTTTATTGAAATGTGACATTTTTAATAATCCTTTCGAATTCGGATTTGGATATGTTGATCAGCTTTAAGGGGATTGTGGGATAATGTCATCAAAGTTCGCTGCAAAACATATCTGACAAACTTTAATTGAAAACTTAATTAAAGTTTAAAACTCTAGTTCTACAATAATTCTATGGTCTTCTTCTTAAGTCGGTATGGATGTATATTAACTAGAAACAAACTTTTAAATATTGACTGAGTGATTAAGATTAAGATTGCCATTTCGTTCATTGTACTTGTGAGGGTATTCAATAATCGGCGATCTGTTCAACAATATTTCCTTCATTTTTTCGGTTCGACACGCTGCGGATAAGTTCCTGATAATGCCGCATTTCGTATCTTTTGTCTTTAAGTGCTCCACATTGGCATTGCCATAAATTGTGAATACCTTTTATTGTTGTTGATTTTGGAAACCGCGCAAAATGTTTCTCGGAAACTCGTCTTTCCTCTTACCAGATGAGTCAGAGCAGCGCCTGAGGATCAATCCGAATCGTGGTATATTTTTTCAGACTTTTTTCGTTAAGGGTCAGTCACCGCATCTTTGTAGCTGCAACCCACATAGCTCATCCATTGATGCACTGCCCGTGATATTTTCACATGCAGCGCACAGCAACAAATCATTAAAAATGCATTTTCAATTTCGTCGCAACTACCACAGCGAGAAGAGAAAAAAATACATATAAAAAACAAAGGAGCAGCTCGAACAAACTCGTTTCGGTAGTAATTTTCGTTGTCGCCGTCGCCGTCGTCGCCGACGTTTTGTCTTTTGTTGCAAATAAAGAGTCGCAACAACTTTCCTCCATTTTGGACTCGAGCTGTCAACTGCACTGCACACTGCACGTCCATATATATACATATAGATGCAGTCACGACCGCGTTGCAAACTGCACTCCCCGCCCCCTGTTGTCCGAATCCCCTGTCAAGTGTCAAATAGAAACTGCCGGGAATTGCGCCAGGGATTAGATGGTTGGGCAGATGGAATATGATGGAAGTTCATTGCAGCTAATATTGCCGCATAACGCTTGTCCAGAACTAGCAAAATATTTTGAGAAATATAATAGTAATAGATATAATCGTAACTTATCTAGCTGATCAACATGAAAAAAAAAGAAAACTACTTAATATACAGTTTTTGGCAAACGTTTCGTTGTATTGCAGCTACCTCAATTTTCAGCTTGTGTGCTGTTAATATTTTTAAAAATCGTTTCCCTATTGCAAAATCCAAAATCCATCTGCATTGAATGAGTTGCCAGGTCTGCCCAATAAACATATTTTAAAATATTGTTTAATTTTGCAAACTTAAGTGAATTACAAAAATATTTGCAGAGTTTTACACAAGGCAAAATAATAATTGTAATCAATATGAATTCAAATTATTTTGCTGAATTTCTGATTTGCTCTGATGTCCAAATTGTAAATGGTATAGAAACAAATAATAACGCAACCAACAAATTCAAATATGTACATGTAGCCATATCCAATTGCCCCACAGCTCGTGGACTCCGCATAATACCAGCAGCTCGTTTTAGAGCTCAACAGATTCACATCAGCTCGAAGTCGGCTTGTCCAGCTGTCCGCCCCCAATTATGCCCGAGGGGGTATATGAACAAGCGGCGGCTGTTTCTCACAGGGCATCAGTCGAGCTTGTGAGTCGGAGCCTCCGACTCAGACCGAGAAGCATTTTGGGGCCAGCTCCATTTGAGTTGAGTTGGAAGCTGGTTTCGTATTTGTCCTTTTGTTCAAAGTAAACATTCGCACGTTTTGCGCTAAATTATTTTCGCTTTTCGTACGTTAAGTGCTGATCTTCAGCCTCTTTTTTTTATTTTTTAATTCCGTTTTTTTTCTTCGCTCTTTCTGTTGAGGATGGTTGCGTCTGCGCAGACGCGCCGGCTGGGGCACTGTTTGATTATGAGGGCGTCGCTGGTTGAGCAGCTGGGAAGAGTGTGGAGGGGTCGGGTCTCGGTCTTGTTATTTCATCAGCGTGCAATCAAATGAACGAGACCAGCAAAAATAAACCAAAGATTCTGCGAAACGAGCAACTGTGACAGGAAACTGGTTTAATTGGTTGAGAACGTTCCTGAGTTCTCCTCTTTGGGGGGAATCGCACTTGCCAAAGCCAACTGTGGGCCTGTTGTTTGCCTTTATTGTCTACCAGTCGCTAAAACTGGCAATGACATGCAGGGCTTGGCACTAGCTAGCACTTCATTTGGCCCGCCCGCACCCGCATAAATCACACGGAAAATCGCAGCTCATCGAACTGTGCCCAACTTCAATTCAATTCAATTAGCAGCATATTTTGCAAGGCTCGAGCCATAACAGATACAAAGCTTCAGATACAGATACAGATTCAGATACAGTCCGCAGATAGCGGCAATTTATGAGCCCAGGCACTTGCCAGCATGTGGCCCCCGCCACCAAGCTCCCACATCGCCTGGCATGTTTTGACAGCACACAAAAAAAAAAGAAAAAAAGGAAAAAAAGAGCGGCACCCGCTGTTCACACTCCATGCCATGCGATCTTGAGATGCCAATGCCATGAGGGAGGGGCGGGTCCATTCCATGTGGCGTGCATTGCGTGGCGTCGAAATGATTTAAAAGTTGGCGTGTGTGAAGATTCGGCAACAACAATGTATTTCCCCGGACATTGAGAGTCCCACAACTGAACGCCAGCACTTGGCCCAATGATAGGACAGGCCATCTAGTAAGTAAGAGTGTGGTATAATTATCGATACACGAATGTATACAATATTTCAAATTGCAAATATCCAGCTTCAAAATCAGCGAACAAACAACCAAGAATGGCTATCTACAGCACCACGTAGATTAAATACCCTTCTTGATAGTGAAGAATATTATAGAGCTCGAGAGTAATAAATTTGGTTGACATCTTGAAAACCCCAAAATTCCCCTACACAAATTCTCATTTTTCTGACCAATTTGTTCCTGTAGAATTAGTTAAGTTTTGTGTCATATTCGTGGAACATGGTAGAGCTCGTGAATGTTAAATTTGGTAAAAATATCTTGAAAAACAAAATTTCTTGCTCACGTGCTCAAGTGAATGTTTTATTGGCTGTCTACATTTTTGATTATACAAATTAATTAGAATTAATTAACCTTGTTGAAATAGTGTGCATTACAATTATAAATGTCATGTTTATATCGAAAATTTTCTATGATCTCTAGGTGAAAACACTATCGATACCCTGCAGTCGGATATCCACCACATTCCATCAGCTGTTTACAGCGTAAATCGGGGATTTTTATTTTTATTTTCTGATGCATTTCAAATTATTTCTTTTTTCCATTTTTTGTGTTAATCTAAGAGTTTACTTGGCTTGAATAAGGCCTTTGAGAGTAGGTAACAGACAGAACGACATAAAGACAGACTTATGCAAATTGTTCAGATCGATAGCTTTATAACTCAGTTTAGTTTGCATTTAAACAAACAGACGAACATGGCTATATGTGGTCGGATATATCTCCTTCGTATCTACTTTGCGATTCGAATATAATTTATTGATAATTAAATATTAAATATTAAAAATAAATATTAAATATTAAATATTACCTTTTGTGTAATAAGAATTTATTATATTTCAAACTTCAAGGAATAAACATAGTAGTTAAAATTATGATGGTACAGCGAAGCTCCTTTACTTCAAGATTTTTTTTTTACTTTAATTCATTAATGGTTTAAAATATTCATTTGTATCTTATTGTTTTTCTTCTTAATGTTTTAAAATTATAATGGTACAGCTAAGTACCTTTTCTTCAATACGTGCTTTGTTAATGTACTTTAATTCATGATTTTTGTATGAGGTGGCTTCAATTAATATTACTGTTAATTATCATTTTAATTAGTTTGCAATCAGCAAAAGCCAGTAATAGCACATTTTTATGTGTTGTGACGATACTCCTCCAGTCCGATGTGTTCATTACCTCATCTTCATGTGTTTTAATAAAATTGATTGACTCTAATTTCAGTTCGTCCGAATTATAAAGATCGGCTAAGATGAACGTCGAGGCAGCAGTTTCAATGGAAAGCTTGTCAGTTAGGTAGTTCAAACACATTGCCTTCAGTCTGTCGAGGTCGTATTTGTCAGCAGCCGCCAGCAGATCTCCAACCACGTCCTCCAAGTGAGGTGCTTTATCCGTGTAGATGAAATTCAGCAATTCTTTGACAACCTCACGATTGAAATCGCTAATGGTAACACGATTGTTCCGACTTTCCTCCATTGGATTCTTAAACATGGCCGCAAACACTTTGCTGCGTGCTGCGAACATCAAGTTTTGTTGACAACAGCTGCTATTTTTTATATTATTTCTTACCTGATAGAATGCCCTTGTGTACTGGTATCTCATGGTTGTCCTTAGTCACAATTGTTGCGTCTGTGTATTCCTCAGAAATAAGTAAATCAGCAAAATTTGTGGCCAATTCAGAATCGGGAACTTTGATCGATGTATTCTTGTTTTCGGGGAAAAACAGAAATATCTCAAAGCGAATTATAAGTTTGTCTTTGGGCAATAAACCCTTCGATTTATCAAATAGTTCAGCAAACGAAATTAATGAAATTGTTTTATCCCCAGAGAATGAATTGTAAATACTTTTTTGGATTGAAGTATTTGGTATAGAAACGATGATATGCGCGTTAATAGTGATCTTATTGTTTCTTACTACTGTTACAAGCAAATTATAGGTGTCTGTACCAAGTCTTAAATAAAAACCTTCATAAAGCCCGCCAAACTTGTTATAGGCATTAAAGCTCTTTGAAGTCCGGTGGTTACATGCATTAAATTTATGAAACACAGAAAAGCCTTCGATGGTCCATGTGTGGCACGCTTTTAAGCAAGTAAGCTCTGTGTAAGTGCAATCTTCTTCAGAGGACATATTGATTACGTCACTTTACAACCTTTTGCTGTTAATGTGATATTGTGAAATTCGCAAAGGAAAGAACTACACGCTTCTTGCGAAATGGTTTTCGAAGTACAGATTTGCATATGGAAATTGAAGGAATATAATCGATTATTTATTCCTATTAACGATTATTCATATCACGCTGTTTCTATCGATTGCTCAACGCTATCATCAGCTGGTATTTTTATAATAATTGTCACGTTTAATTTCTGTAAGTAAATAAGGCGGAATGAGTCGAATTATTTTTTGCCGTAACCGGGAACGATCACTCAAAAATTAAGTGCTTGTTTGAGAAAATTATTTGTGTTGAATTATATAATAACCAAACTTGGCATTAAGGAGTTAAATAATGCTTCTCACATATGATTAAAATCTTATCAACATCGAACTGCATTATCATATTGTTCTAAGACGAGAAGCGATCAAAAATTTGCTTCTGCCTGTTTTTTGAGTTTTAAGATATATCCAACTGAGCAATTGCCAATCAGAGCTTCACTATTCTCAGTACTAAATCGCACTTCTATATAATTTGTTAAATACATATATGCGGAGGAGAGCATTAATTAGTTGTTGCTTAGATCCCAACATTATTATTGTTAACAAAAATCTGCAAGTGTGTTAAATCAGCAGCAAATCCAAACTCAACTTTCTTCTTTCCTGTTTGCTAATCAAACTGCCGCCCAAGTGTCAATTGCTAATTGCATTTGATTCGAGGGGCTGCCACGCCTCCACTTGAGACATTTAATGAACTTGCGCAACCGATGAGGCTTGGCAATCGGTTGCAGTTTTTACTGTAGCTATTAAATTGCACACAGCAACAACAACAACTGCAACAATTTTATACAATTAATGCAATCAATTTGAGCGCGCACTTTCAACGGCAGGTGGCGCCAGCGTCTTCGTCATTTGGCTTCTTACGCTCAATTACACGGCCCGCATCCTGCCTGTTGCCCTCTCTCCCCATCCACAGCTATTCGTCGGCTCGTCTTTTGTTAGCGGGACTCTGTCAACCTGTGGTTGCCGTGTTTTTTGGATGCTCCGCAACGCTTGCCAGGCACGCGCTCACCTCATCGATTATTTCGCTACGGAGCAACATCTTGTTGTGTTTTGCATGTAAATACTTGTAATTTGTCATTTAACGCAGTTTCCACTCGACTGCTGCCACTGCCACGTGCTAGATACATTGCATTCAGCAATAGCAGCAGCTTCTGCATGGATCATTGAGCTCCCTTCCAGTATACAGATACTTCAGTATAAGGGCTGCAAACCCAAATAAAATGTTCGATGGTTCGGTTTTTTTTTTGTTTCGAAACTTGTTCCTCATATTTTTTTATTAAATTTCTAATCGAACAATTTAATTATAATTACCAATTTAATTATTTTTTAATTAAACTCATTTTAGAAGTATATTTCAAAGTAAACAAGAGCTAAATATTGAAACATTTTAAAAATTTATTTATAATATAATTATTATATTTTAATTATATTTATTTATAATATATTACGCATTTCATAATAATGTATGCATGCGGATATCGTCATGTTGAATTTTAGTAAATTAAAGCCCTTTGTCTTCAAAATGGGTCACATGTTTCAATGTTTAAGCTTTTTCGTATTTAAAGATTAGTACATATTTTAATGTCATTTAATTTTAGCAACTTGCTCCATTCACACAATTCCTTAAATATAAAATTTCTATGATGTTCTATGATCTCTAGATGAAAACATCTGATCGCTTGTTCTACGTATCGATAGTCTGCGATTATCGATACCCTGCAGTCAGCCATCCACCACATTCCAAAAGCTGTTGACAGTATAAAACGGTGATTTTGCTTTTTCTTTTCTGTTGCAATTTTTATTATAGTTTTGTGCCTTTTTATATTTTATGCGTTTATCTAAAAGTTTAAATGAATCTGGGTAAACATTTTTTCCTGCAGTTAAGTACATTCATACTTACATATATTATAGATACATGCATATGTGTGCTTGTGCCGGCTGGTGATGGATGCTGTGCAGCCCTCCTTAAAAGGTGTATACTATATATATATTCTTGACCAGTATCAGTAACTGTTTCTATGCAAACTAATCACACAGTTGCTTTGTTGTTGCAGCCAGACCGGATCGGGCCATTGTATCATATAACTTCCACAAGAATGATCAGCCGAAAATTAATCTGTTTTCTGTTTTCAAGACATCTTCAACGAACTTGCGAACCGATCTGTCTATGAGGGTATTTAGTTTTCGGTTAGTTTTCTAGTTGAGTTTGTTCTTTCTTTGATAGACTGTCTGAAAAATCGTATTGCAATTGGCTATAGCTATTGCTATTGACGTGTTTATATGAAGATATGATCTTGGCGAAGTTATTCAGCATAAAGACTGTGGGATGGATATAGACGCCTATGCCTGCATATGGGGAGACTGGACACCAACTGCTGAGTGTTCTGTCGCGCAATCTTTGCGGCTGGCTGCACACGCGCCACCCTTTTATCGCCGCGCCCCCTTTGGGGTGGTCAGCAATCGAGGCGTGGCATCGCCACGCAACGCTGCCTACTTGTGGGCGCAGTGAACGATACAAATTCTCATCGTAATTCTCATGCAATTTAATTTGATTAATGAGCCGCATGAGCCAAGATAGCGTGAGCTGCCCCGAAGGCTGCAGCTGAAGGCGAACTCTTAAAGGTGCTGACCCAGATCTACCAGTTGAGAGGGAAATGAAAAGCCAGTAAAGTTATTCAGTTAACTTGGGCTCCAAACTGCGTCGCCCAGTTTAAAAGCCATTGTTTGCCATTTTTCCGCAATTGTCAAATGGCATGCAAACTTCTTGACAGGGGAATTTTCTGCCACTTTGACGGCTGTTTATTTTCATAAGCGCACGTTTTTAATTAAACATACCTAAGAGTATATGTATATGTAGATATGTGCACTTCAAAGTGCCTTGACGGGGACTGCCTATTTTTAGGGAACTCTGCTTGCTCCAGGCGTCACCCGGGCCATAAGATCAAAGCAGTCAATTACTCAACACAGCAGCGATGCCAACTCGCAACTGGATGCTCTTTGAAAGCAGGCAATGGGCTAGAGAACCGCAGCAGCCGCAGCGGCAGCAGCCCAGCAACTGGGTCTGAACTCGGCGCGGGCGCGGGCCTGGGCCAGGGCCAGCCATCAAATCAAATTAATTGCCAGCGAATAGCAGGCGCAAGTGGGTGTGGCAGGAAATCGGGAAAGCGGCTTTTGCAGATCGTGTGCAGCGATAAGGTGTTAGAAGTCATGTGGAAAGGCCTGAAATGTGGCACGATCACAGATCGCAGCGAGATCGTTGCAGCTATGCTGCCTAATTATGTGGAACCAGCAGCAGCCTGCCAGCCTGTGTCTGTGTGCCCGCCACACACAATGCCAAACTTCTCGTCACGCGACTTTCAAAATCAATTTCATTGGACAATAAATAATTTCTTAATAAATTGCACATTCAAAATGCAACTTCCTGCAATTAAAGGCGGCCTGCAACTTTGCAACTTTGCAACCGTAGCCGCAACAGCACCGAGTGCAATAAAAAATAATTGAAAATTCAGTCACGTAAACGTTTTTCCAGCCGCGCCGCAAGATCGCGACTCATTAATCCATGCGGCGAGGCGCTCCACTCGTTTGCCCCATAATAAAAGCACGCGGTGCCTGCTTATCGGCCCCTGACAATCGACGCAACGAGGCAACGGCTCGAGTCACAGGAGAAGAGGGGCAACGGGCACATCATATTTGGGTTAAAAAGGCGTGCATGCAATTTACCATGGAAGATCATCATGATTATGAGCATGTCTCTGGCTCCGACTCCAATTCCGGCTCCAGCCTGTTGCTGATGCGTTTGATTGGCCAAGGGATGGGGAGCAGTTGGTAAAACGTTCATTAAACCGCACTCACTAGCAGGTGGGCGTGGCACACTGAGACAGCATCAAAGTCGAGCAGAAACGTGTCTGGACAATAAAAACTTGAAACCGAAATAAACTTGAGAAGACTAAAACAACTCAGAAAGAGTTTATACCAGAAATTCCATTACAAATGGTAAAAAATTGTACTTCCACTAACTAAAATTCGTGGGAATTGAAGGGCAAGGATAAGAACTCCTTTTAAACTGTCATCTCTCTCTCTCTCTCATATGCAACTTTTTTGTTTTTATCAAGTCTATCTATTTACCACTTGTCTAGCATGACAGCATATTCCGATGAATATACAAAATAGAAGAGTTCATCTATAGTTTAACAGGTTTTATTTGGTGTAAATCGACTAAATTATTCCGCAGAGTTTGTTATCCAAAATATTGTAATCACTTTGAGGGCATTGTCATAACTGCCCCTCCCCAAAATTGCTAAACTCCCTTTTCCCCACATTTTCTCTCAGTAAACGGTAGCGGCTGCCCTTTCTTTTTTTTGCGTATTTCAATCAAAATCAACTGCAGACCTCGTCTGAAACCAAAACTTGCATGGAAATTACACGCACAAAACACACAAACTAATTTTCCAACAAATTAGACGCGCAAGTAGGGCCCCCACCCCCCACAGATCCTGCACCCCCGCAACCGCCCACCACACAACCTTCTACTGTTCATAATTTATTTGGCGTTTTTTCTTTTTTTTTTTGCGCTTTGGCTTTTTTATTGTCCAGCGCAATTCGTGTGCGTAATTTTCTCTGTTAAGTTTGTTTTTTCCCATGGAAAAACTTTGCTTTGAACATGGCAGGCGGTCTTGCTTTACGGGGTGGGTGGTGGACGGGACGGGACGGGACGGGGCGTGTGGGGGTGGGGCGATTCTTGATTTCGGCGCATGATAATTGCCCGAGTAGCCGCTTCGCTCGTCGTCTCTGCGCAAATGTGCGTGAACCATGCGTTGCGTTTCTTTTAGTGGCCAAAGCCACCAAGTGCCACAGCCGATGGGTTGGGTTGGGCTGGATGGTTTTGTGGTGGGGCGGGGCCAGGTTGGGGGCGGCTTAGCAGACGGGCTGCATTTGATGCGAGAGCACACATTTTCCAGGCGCATGCATCGCCGCACAGGAGACGCAGACAAGGAGGCATATTTGCAGCCAGGTCACGTGACCTTAATTAGCCAAAAAAAGAAAAGCATTCAAAGCAGAGAAAACTCAGTTGGAAAAGCGGCTGTCGAAAATTCCTTTGTCGTGGTAATTGTGCGTACCATGTGAAGAGCTCACAACTTGAATCGACCCCATGCGATTGAAGTTGCCTTTGTGTCCAGAGAGCGGTCCACTACAATAGAGCAGCGGCTAAAGTCTTTGTTTACGCCTTTGAATAAACCTTCCTACAAACTCATGTATGTACATATATGTGAGCTAGTGATGTAAGTCCGAAATGAACATCGATTCTCTTACATTGGTTAAGGTAAATTGCCAGAAAAATCGATGCTTCGATCTGTCGGAATATTTGAGATCTATGTAACGATTTTTCAGCATATTTCTAAAAAGCTTAAAAACGAATTTACTAAGTCAAAATACAAAAAGAAAAATTACCTTTTATTTCTAAACATTACTTTTACTAACAAATTCCATTCAAATAAGCTGGACTCTTAAAAAAAAACAAAAATGAAAGAAGCCCTTCGGCTGGCACGAAAGTCCCAAGGACTATCAGAGATTTGCGGTAAATCGATGCATCGTATTTCGATATTATCTTACATCGCTAATGTGAGCTGATGATCTGTTGAGCTGGGCTTATTCTCGGAACTGGAATTGCCTTCAATTGCATTTGAGTTTAAATCACTCGCCGCATGACAATCGTTTAATTGAGTTGCATTGCAATGACCCCTGCCACACTGTACTTGCCGTACTCCCAAAGTGTATCTACTGTACTTACTGTTTGCCAGCCAGTTCAAAAGCCTTTCAGTCAAAGAGCAATAAATTTCAATTATTTACTTAAATGCACATTAAAATAAATTGCCGGCCTGTCGCCGCTTCTTGTTGTGTTGTGTAGCGCAGTGTAAGTATCTTAATGATAATTGCGATTGCAAAACCTACTATTAAAAGCGGTATTTTGCATGCATTACAGTAAACCAGATGACAGGAGCACAGCCTGGTGTCATAACTGAGAAAATAAACTACTTTTAAAAGTTTAAAGTTCTTGGCATTGTGAATATTTCATTTATACACTTAAGATATAGACAGTACAAACTTTGTTAAATATAGTTATAATTGATTAATTTCATTTTTATCCAGTTAGGCATTTACCACGAAAGTCGTTCGCCATTTCAAGAGTGAGGTTTATTTCATATTAACCAAAGTATTTCTATATTTTTATGTTCATAGCATGGCATATGTCATGATTATGCCATTATCCTCACGTTCAAACTTATGCTGATTGATTTTGTCTTTTTCATGGGGGAAAATACATTCCAAACATAAAATAAGTTAGAAGGGTGAACTGAAGTGAATTTATACGGACGAAATGGCAGAATTGGGATATATACACAAATACATGTACATGGAACAAACACGAAATTTAGCAAAAATACATAAAAGAGGTATGTCCTACTAAATCTTATTAATTACTACTATTTTTATCATTGTTATTAATATAATTTTTGCTTGAGATGCCATTTGGCTAGGACTTAACGGCATTTATGCCGTAACCTCAGGTTGGATCTTAGTTCGGGCTTATTTTGAATATACATAACTCTATTTACGAAACACTGCAGCAAATCCTCAGATAGAGAGAGAGAGCGCGAATTTTAATCTGATACTACTTTTCACACAATATTTCATTAGGTACCACTGTGAAGACGCTTTAATTAATATTTAATTAAAATAATTTTTGCTTGAGATGCGGCTTATCTAAGGCATAATGGCATCTATGCCGTAGCCTCAAGTATGATCTTATAGTGAATATACATCTATATATGAAGCACTGCAGCAATCCCTGAGAGAGAGAGAGAGAGAGAGAGAGAGAGAGAGAGGGAGAGAGAGAGAGATCGAGTTTAAATAAAATAATCCTGTGCAGTTGCTTTAGGGATTAGCATTAAGCAGAATGTCAGTTGGAAAATGCCAACAATTAAGTTGCCTTAAGATTAAGCAAAATTTCACTTAATTTAAAATATTTTCTCTTTTGCTATTCCTGCGACTCACCCACAGCCAACAATAGAGGATTTGTGTGTGGGTGTGGTTGTTTGTGTGCTGCTGCTTCGCAATACTAGGGACATAAAAATGGATTTGCGCTTAATCACACACGAAGGATGCATATTTTACTGGGTGTTCCTAGGTAACTGCTGCCAGCACCCCAGCCGCCCCCGCCCCCCTCTGCATCCCCCTGCACGGGCCGCTCATTCGCATGCACATTTTGTTCATTAGAAGCTCCACACGAGCGCGCTGCTTAACCTCTGCTTACACACACACACACACTTACAAGCTACATCCCGGTTCTCGTACCGCTCGCCCTCGTTTTTGCTGCGTTTTCAGTTCATTTTGCTAGTCGAGCTCTATTTTTTTTTTTCCCCCACCCCCATTTCGGGACAAAAGGAACCGCCTGCTGTGAGCAGCTTTAGTCGAGCTCGTGGCACTTGCAGCTTTCGCCAATACCAAAAACATGTGTATGTGTGATTGTGACAGAGAGAGTGAATGTGTGTGTGGGTGTGTGTCTGTGTGTGTTGCTCCCATTAGCCAAAAGGATTTATATTACAAGCGTACACATAAAAAGCACCGCAGGATATTTTGTTTTATGTGAATTTAATTGTAGTTTTAATCCAAAGGAAGTCCAACTACTGTTCTCTGCTCTTACTCTCATTCTCTTTCTCGTTTTCTCACCCTCGCACTCTCTTTTGCTCTTGAACTCGCTCTGAGCTCTGGCTCAGCGTGTGTTATTTTATATTAATAGCATTGCATTTTTAATAATAGCTGAGCACACACGTCGGCTACTTGATTTTTCCCTTTGTGTGCTGCCCGCCTTTTGCTTTTGACCAAAAAGCAAGCTCAAAAGTCGGTCAAGTGCACGAAGCCAGCCAAGCAACATATTTCAGTCAAAGGCAAAGCGCGTTTCCCAAAAAGTTTTGGCTTTTTCCCATATCTGGCAAAGGCAGCTCCATGCTCAACCAGTCAAGTCGGGCCATCAATAAAGTAACTCTATCAATGCAGTAATTATGTAAACCAACTAAATGCACATTCCTTTGCCCTACCCTCCCATCTTTTTCTCTCCATACAGATATAAGATGTATACTTTCACATGCTAATTGGCCATAAGAAATGGTTGCCCATCTATATTTACGCCAGATATGCATAGTATTTAAAATATGAGCAGCTTTTATTTAAAGTTGGAATACCCTTTCTTTTTAATAGAGCATCTGACAGAGTCAACACATAAACGTCAACTGCTTAAAAGATGTTGCCAGCAGGCAGGAAAAACTTAAGAATGCCTAAATAAAATAAAAGAGAAAAGCAAAGAAAACTTGGCCAAGTTTTGAGTAGAAATATCAACGGAAATATGGCAAACACAATTCCGCACACACAGTAAAACCAACACGGGATCAAAGTGTGCATATCCTGCTTAGCCGGGTTTTTGTAATGTGCTTTTCAAACAGTTTTTGTAGTGTTGCTTTTGCTGTTGTCAACACACACACGCATACACACACATATATAGCCCACAAAAAGGGACAATTTGTTTAAAGGTAACAGAAAGTTTTGGCGCTCTCATTTATTTTTTTTGTGCCTTGTACCCATTGATAATTGTTGAAAAGGCTACAACGATTCTGTGTAAAAGCATGTTACAGGCATAAAGGCCTCATCTGACTTTCCGTCCATCTTGGAGACTTTAAAGCTAGATAGATGGTGATAATTTCACAGCTTGCAAGAAATCCATAAATATCGATATCGTTGTCCTGTAATTTGCCCTTATCTTGGAGCATATAAGAGGGATTGTTCACTTCTTGCATGGCATTCTCTAAAAATGTGTAAAAAATGTAAGTGGCATATTTAAGCTCTACAAATTTCTAAAAGATCGGACTATATGCACCGAAGTTAATCAGCGAAGTTAAATCAGAAGCGCAGCCAGTGTTTGTGTGTGTAGAGAACAACATATTGACGCTGGGTTTAGAGGATCTCGTAGTCAGGCACTTTTGACTAGAGAACTCGCTTGTTTTTTTTTTTTGGTATTTTGCCAGAGTGAACTTTAGGTGAGTTGGTAGGAGAGGGTACGGGAGGGCTTCGGACCTGAAATGCTTTGCATAAACTTGAGCGGGAAAAGTTGAAAATGTTTGTTGTTGTGCTATATATGAAAACGGCAAACAACAAAGATAAAGTTCAAAGGAAATGTGGCACAGGAAACGCAGCAAAAGATACAGAAAGAGAAAAATATGGGCGGGCAGACAAGAGGCAAAGGCGATGCCAAAATATACGTAGATATAAAACAAAATATTAAGAAAGTTATTTCAACAAAATGAAAGTTATGCTAAGTGTGTGTGCGCGAGTGTGTGTGTGGATGTGTGTGGATGTGTGTGGATGTATGTGAACACAAACTCCTCACGCTCCGACTTTCGACTTGCTCAGGTATTTTATTTTATTTATTTTTTCTACTTGCCGTTTTTGATTTATTTCAAAATTAATTTGATGGGCTGAAAACTTTTTGTTAAAGTTTTGAGTATTTTGCAGTTAATTAAAAGGCATTCACAAATCACAAATAATAATAATAATAAAAAGACAACTGCAAATACGACAAAAAATTAAAGATACAAATCAGCCAAGCTGAACATTTATTTAAACTTTTCTTGTTAGCTGTTTGCCCGCCGCAGCACAAAGCATTTGCATAATTTAAGGCGTAATTTTGGCGGTGCTTTAAATTGATATTACAAGAGCAATTTGTGTTTGGATATGGCGCATCCCCCGCCGCCCCTTTCGCACTCTTTCCCCCTCTCTTTCGCCCTCTCTTTCTCTGCGTGACATTAGCTGGAATGGGCGCTAAGTACACGGAAAAACTGTGCCACGGCAACATTTTTCCTCGCTTTCGCTTCGTTTCGCTTGCTCCAGCCAGTCGACTGGGGCGTGTTCATTCATTTCCTGTTGCGCCTCAAGTTATGTAAAGCTTATGGCAAAGTGAACAAGCTCTAAGTGGGTGAAAGTGGGCGGATGAGCAAGAAACAGCGCACAGCCACATGGAAATGAACAAAGCGTTGAGACAGACAGCAACATGGTCCACAGGATCGCCAGATGAACGTTGTCCTTTAATATATGACTAAATACAACTTATAGCTGAGGTAAATTGAACAACTAAAGCAAATCGTTGTGCGTGTTTTTTTAAAACTTAATCGCAAGAGCTTCAAACTTTCTCTTAAAAAGGAATCCCATTCATTTTTTACTTGGTTGTAGAACTTAATAATCATAGAGATGCACCTAAATGGAATAAGTTAAACGTTTTGTTCTCAATAACTCATTGTAGAAGATACTATAATTGTAGTGTAACGAAATACACTAATCCGATCCCATAATGGATGTATATTCTTGATCAGTACCATACGAGCTCATTGAGGTATGCACGTTCGTCTATCTGTTTCTACGAAAACTAGCCCCTCGGCAAGATCGCACTACTACACCATTTACATGCCTAAGGAAGCATACCCCTTGAATATATAAATATATTTGCCAAACCTTAACAACATCAGACTACTATGTATAGTTTATAACTCTAAGAATTGGTCGCAAAATGACATTTTTGATATAGAAAACTTTTCTGTTTCTGTAGACATCAACTAAGAGTTTCATCATTCTATTGACAGATCTACAAACCTGTCAGCCATGATTTTACTAGAGTATTAATTATTCGGCGTGCCGAAATAAAATTAAATGAAATGCAATTCTTTACCAAAAGTTCCAGAGCTAAAGTAATGCCCACTTAGGGCATTCGATCGCAGATTCTACTGTAGGCTTCCTCATTTTTAGCATTCCATAAGCGCACACAGTTTACATGGCTGGCGCTAGGGCGTGTTTGCAGAGCTCGTGTTTCAGATACAGATACTTCATCTTTTGCTGTTGACATCTGTTAAATGCCGCAGAGTTTTATAGCAATTAAAAAAGCTGCAATTTGTGCAGCAGCTGCGGTTCTTGTGATTACATGAAATACATGAAAAATTAATGCTGGCGTTGATTTGTGAGACAGCCCCCCCTCCCACTGTCGTGCTACATGTTGCATGTTTATCATAATTGAAAGCAGATGTTGAACTTTAATGACACTTAGACTGCACAAATAAAACGCTTTAGTGTAGGTCCAATGCTAGCCATGATTGCGATTGCGATGAATATTGAGCGGTCCATCGTTCTGCTGCTGCTGCTGCTGCTGCTGCTGCTGCTGGTGTTGACCATCCAATACCCTGTAAAGTTACAAGCAATTAGCAAAGACTCCAGCCATAAGCTCTACTCACGCACATGAGATTGATTTGGCCGAGCAGATAGGCCTGCTGCAGATACAGTCTTCCCTGAAAGTCGTTGGCCACATCATTGCTGCCCCGGCGACGACAGTGCTGGCAATTGCCAGTGTATGGGGGCTCGCCCACCTGGCGCTGGGCTGGTGTGGGATTTGGGCGATTGAGTAGCTTGCGATAGCGCTGCGCCAGTTCACGTTGATCTTCTTCGTCCACATAGGGATCGTATTTGGGTATCTGAGTGTACTTGTCGACGCCACGTCGCATTCCCTGCGCCGAGGAGCAAAACATTTTCTGCAGCGGCACACGAGATTCTTTAACAATATCAGCGGCACGCTGCTCGGCGACAGTTGTATGCTTGCGACCCCTTTTCAGACGGGCGCCCATGTCCGACATGTTGGAGATGCCCAAATGGGCGACCAGCTTGTCGCCGTCCTCGCCCAGTTCGTCCAGCACGCTGGGAAAGCGATCGCGCTGACACGGCGCATGGAAGTACGGCCCTTTGTGTCCCCACACCAGGTTCATATTTAATAATTTTTGTAAATTTCGGCAGTGCACAATATTTAGAGCAATACAATTTGTGTGACGTTTAGTTAATATATTAAATTTAAGGCACAAAGACAACTTGATGGGAAAAGTGCAAAAAGTTGTCAGATTTTCGCTTACTGAAGCAAACCATAGAGATGGCCCCTTGTAATATTTTTTATCGCAGCGTCAACTGATAAAACATTCAAAAGCACGACACGATTTCAAGACTTTATCTGTTCGAAATGATTTCAATATTTTATGTTGATTGAATTCTCTACTTTCTTAATACACAATATTTAATATTTAATATGACACGTAAATGGAAATAGAATTGCATCTGTTTTGGTAACTGTTAACCGTTAACTGTAGTGTTATATTCGGTAATAGTGCTGTAAAATATAACAATTTAATATTGCAAAGTGCTTCAATTAGTGTTGCGAGTCGTGTCAAATTTTCATAAATCCATTCACAATGTGGCACGTATGTTTGTATGTTTGTTTGTCAAAAATGTTAATAAAGTTGATTGAAATTAATTGAATTATTATTAATTAATAGTAGTTTTAATAATAAATTATGGTTGTATTTATACAAAACAATACACCAAATAAGTAATGTAATTAACAGATTGCAACTGTGCAACCTGCTTAAATATATGTACATACATATAAGGTTCTTTAAAGCACGTCATATTGACCACAGGGGTCAAACTAAAACAGAATAACTTCGAGAGGCAGCAAAGTTGAGAAAAAAATTGTTTTACTCGGAGCGATAAGAAACAACAAAAAGTCGTGTGAGCGCGATGCATAAGTAAAGAAGGTAGATAATTTCCTAGGCACGCATATACACAAGTGTGCGTTAATATAAATAGGTTTCTATACTATAAATTATGGCCGCTCCTTGAATATACATACCTTTTTAGACTCCTCCGAATCAGGAGGCCATATTTAATTCACATTTAAACTTGAGGCTATTGTAAGATTTTTTATTTCAATTGGTTTGAGACACCGCAACTTATTTCTGATCGGGATCTATTTAACCGAGATATGGTCATTTAATTAATAAATATTATCCAGCATATTTCAATTAAATATTATTTTCGCACAACCTGCACTTATCAAATTGCGGCAGTGCAGATTCTTCAGTCTGCATAAACGTCACTCCATATTGACTACTGGGGTCAAACTCACAGAGAGTTGATGCATTGCGAGTGCCTTGAGCGGACGAAAAAACCGGCGCACATCAAATAAGCAAAGCGATCAAAATTCGACTGAGAGCGGAGTGTCACATTGACCCGCATATACACCCACACAAAGATGTGTATGCTCAGAGAGGCTCCAACAGCAGAGATAACCAAACGGGCATCCGTTTGTGTGTGTGTTCGCTTGTGCGTTATCTACTTATGCTCATGCACTCTCACGATTTTTGCTGCTCTTTGCCTATTGATCTTAAAAATTTCTGGTATGTGAACTACTCGCTCAGATTTCTGTGCGCCTTTTTTTTCGCCCGTCTTGCATCTCCGCAACTTCATTCTGTTAGTTTGACCCCAGTAGTCAATATGAAGGGCATTAAAACGCCAACTAAACTGAAGATTGTGAATTGTAATTGATGGTTGCTCAAAAAGATATGATCTGGGTGTATTTATTTACATATTTAAAACATTACAAATTGAGTACTGAAATTTCAATTTATTTAGCAACTCAATTCTCTAGTAAAAGCCACAATATAAAGTTTTAACCATAAAGAATGGAATGAATAAAAAGCATTTCGAAATTGAAATAAAATAAAATCAAATAATTAGAAACAACTAAAAAAATATATAGCCTTTTCTCTGGCGTAGACCACATTTAATTTCACATGCCACTTGATTTGTTTAAGCTGGAAATTAAAATCCATTAAAATGAAAGCCATAACAATAATTCAAAAGTCAACGAGATGCGAAATTCTGGATAAAAAAATAAACGCTCGCCACGCCCCCGAAATACTGCAGCACGCAGCTGTGAGAGTTTTTGTTGATTAACATTCAGTGAAATCACAATAAAAGTAATTATTTTGATTACAATTCTAACGTAAAAAGGGTGGGGGGAAGGGAAGTTCATAGGGGGGCGGGGTGAAAGTCAAGCCAAAGACTGGCAGACACATGTCCATGCAAAAGTTACATAAACACGCCTAAAATGTGGAATACCAAACGGAGCTATGGGCGTGGCAGGGCACACACTCACACACACATATATATACACACACACACACACACACACACACGGAACACATCAGCATTAAAAATGTATTTTAATGTGTCGCCCGTTCTGTCATTTGGTTACCTTTTCGCCGGCATTTTGGCTGCCTGTTGTCATTTTTAATGTCTTTCATTTGGCTCAATGCTGCCTCCTTCTGTTGGGCGTGCGCCACGCCCCCTTTGAAAGTCGTGGCAAACAAACGAACCAACAAACAAACAAACCATTAGGCGCATTTTATAGCGTTTGTAAATCATAAAATGCTGTCAAATTCCTGAACGCCTCCCGACCAACTGAATATTCGTTGCCGCCCCCAAGCACCTTGCGCATTGTTGTTAACTTTGGCTTTGACTTTCCAGCTAATTACTTGTGATTTAATTTGAATTTGTAATTAGCCAGCAAAATGTCATTTTTGTGACAGTTTTGACAGGGAGTGGGTAAAGGGAGAACTGGCAGGCGTGAGGCGCCCAGCCAAGGTGTGAGCTTGTCTCATATGTTGGATTAACGCGCCAAAGTTTTTAATTAGACAACCCGAAAGTGAAAGGCTAAGGTGCTGCCAACGTGTTTGAAATGAAATATTTGAGTGCCCCCGCTTGGAATTGTTAACATTGCTGTAAGTTATTCGAATAACGAGTTACCTTCTTACATATGTATATACTAAACGGGAAATATCCGACTTTTGCCGGGCCAAGTTTTCTTTTTAAGTTTTTGATAGACTTGAAGACCTCAAAAATCGTAATATATTCGATATTTATAATGTAGATCTTTGCAAATGGTATTGAAGCTGAAAATATAACTTTTTCTTATAAGAACTTTACCTATATTTCCCCCCGTCAGGTTTTGATTTCACGATAATCGTGAGACAAATCCCAAATAAATTTAATGTTTTTGAAGATATGTTTTAAAAAAGTTTCATATAATCAATTGCCCCAATTGCGCTCTGTGTTAATCACCGATCAGTCAGTCAGTCAGTCAATCAAGCAAGTAAGGGCAAAAAGTCATATATATGTATATAGATAAGTGAGTGAGTTTGAGTGAATAATGAATAAATGTCGGGAAAATATTAAATTAATATAATTCTTAAGCACAGTCTATTAACTGACAAATATTGCACAGAAGATTCTCTTCTATAAATTGCATAGCACTGTCAACTTGCGTTGATTGACAAACTGTGCTGCCAGTTGCATAGCGAAAACGTAAAATCAAGATAAATTTGACATCAACTACATAAAAAGTCAAAGAAAAATCACTTAAAATCTTTTGCTTGAGGCAACAAAAGCACAGCACGAAACCATCAACAAGCTGGCCAGCCCAACCTGCCCAGCCGCCCCACCAGCCCATCTGCCCACCTGCCCACCTGGTTACCCGCCACACCCACATCATCAGCAGCAGCAACAGCAGCAGCAACAGCAGCAGCCGATGCAGTCAAGTCTAACAAATGGCTGGGAGCTGGGTACGTTTCGCAGCTATCTAAAGCTGTTGATAAAGCGCACATTAAAATATATACGTATCTAAGTATCTCAAAGATACGATGGCAAGGCGTGCGCACAGGTGAGGAGCGCGTCCTTCGGTTACAACTGGGGCCCGGGTGTGCCGCCGGGATGGGCGCATTCAAATGAAAACCGTGAGAATCAAAGCAGCAGCCAAGTGGAGCGTAAAGCTTTCAGTGCCCGGATTGCAGGAGTATAGTGTCTGTCCAAAAACCTAAAACTGTCCGAAGCCCTCCGTCCCTCCGTTAGCTCAGAGATTGTCCCTTCCCGCCCACCGACCCGTCCCCGCATCGAGTTGTTAAGTTTCACATTTTTTGCCTTTACGTTTCATTTATTACGCAGAGGTTTTTCCATTTCTGTTTTTATTTTTTTGTATTTTTTCGTAAATTAAGAATTTCCCTGCAGCTTTTTTAGAGCTTCTCAATGACCGCCCCGCCCCGCCTTGCCCCATATTCCTTATCCCTGCCAGCCTGAGTCGCAGTCTCTTAACTGACTGTTGGCGTTATAAAAGCCCAACGCTTCATTGCACAAACATAGTGGCAAGAGCCGACTCTGGCATTTCTAAAGGCCTCTCTGTTGTCTTGTTTGTCCCGGAGGGTGAAATGGGATGAGGGATGGGGTTGGGGATGAGGATGAGGATGGGGCAACCGCTCTCCACTTAACGGAGCACACAACTTCGGCTTGCGGTCGAAGCTCAACGCTTGACACTCAAAAATTTGCTTTTCCCTCAAAGAAGCTGCTCGGTGCGATATCATTTCTGCACACGTGAGCAGAACTTGTGGCACGGGAGGTTGCGGCCCGGGGGAGGTTGCGGTGCGTGTTACTTTCAGCAAGTCTCAAAATGAAATTAATTAAAACAATATAAACAATAGAGCGAAAACATGCGTACATCACATGGGCTGCACAGTGAACTAGCGCTTAAAGGTTGCCTTGGCAATTCGGATAACTAAGGCAAATAATGCTCGTAAATATTTTGAGGCAATTCTTAAACATAAATATACCCGTTTTACCTATCCTCAAATAGTTTGCATTTCTTCCTCTACTTCTAATAGTTTAATGAAGTTCTTGGTTCAAATTTAGCTTAACTGCGATTTTACTAATTTTTTTTTTATGCATCAAACCTCTCTTTAATATTGTATCTTTTTTTTTTTTGTTTCTTCAAAAGCTTGTTTTTGTTTTTAAATTATATTTTTAAACAATATATTTTTGATTTAATTATAAAAAATATATACATATGTATATATAGAATAATAGTTTTTTATTGTGAATAATTAACCTTTTTGTTTTACAATACTTTCTGCTACACAAGCTATTTCTTTGCTGAATGTATATTTATATATTTGGTTAATATGCATTGTAATTAATTTTCAATGAAAGTCA